GATTTAGATAGTTTCATGATTATTTAGATAGAGATTTTTGTTATTTCTGAATTTATGTAATTTGATTATTATTTTTTTCAATAAAGATTTTGCGAAACTACCGCACTTTAAAAAAAAAAAAAAAAAAAAAAAAAAAAAGTATTATAATGCTAATTTCCAGCATTGAAGTATTTGGGGGGGAGGGGTTTTTTTTTTTATAAACAATCAGTTATTTAACTTGTTACACCAGTGATGATGAAACGCAATAATTTCGGATGAGAATACCGAATTCTTGGTTCGTCATTTTACTTTATTCTTTTCTGCAAGTTATTGTGAAATTACATTCAATTTAACTTTGTGGATTCCAACTTACAAACAAGTTTCAAGAAAAGGTATGTTACAGTTGTTTGTTTTTAAGTTGAAATAACGGAAATGTCGAATGCCATATTTTACTCTACACGACTAGTAATAAACAATGTGTTCAACGAGAGTTATGTTTTGTACTTTACTTGTTCGTTATTTCTTATATTTTTAATTTCGTTGTACTTTCAACGAATTTTACAAAAAAAAAAAAATCCCTTTGCGATACTTGAATAAAAAATATGTATTAATTTAACTTAGACATATTTAAAACACCATGTTGCGATCTTTACTTGGAGGAGCAAGAAAACAAGGTCCGAAAAGGGCTGTTGTGTGGTCCCCCGATGTGGTGGACAATGCTAAGCCCTTGCCAGGTGTGCTTTCTTTCTCTTTTTGGCGTTAAATTGTCGTTTATTAATATAACTGCTTCGTTCAAATTATTAATCCTTAGACTCCCCGAGAGCAGGAATGTCCGATGACGAAGCCATAAAAAAGTCAGGTAAGTTTTATCTATTAGTTGTTTTATTAATTCTTTATGCCAGATTTTATAATCTAAAACTCGACCTTTTAAAAATAGGAAAAAACTTTACAATTTCGGATGAAGACGAAAGGAAACGTAGACGATCCGTTCGGTTTGGGGCAATGCCGTCGGAAAATGACAATAGCATAAGCCAAGAAAGTCCTTCTAAAGTGAACCCACTATCAGATTTTTCTGTAGAACAAGGTACATTATTGATTTTTTATTTCGTTACAATATGATTGTATTTGCTTAATTCTAAAATGATTTTAATAGCTGCACAAATAAGTAATCTCACTGAAAATGAAAGAAAACGTCAACGAGCCGCTCGATTCGGAGCAAATCCGCTTCAAAGTCAACATGTAAGTCGAAAAAAAATATATTTATGAAAATGATTACTTATAATTTCGTAGTACTCCTTTTTAACACAAAATTTTTCTTTAAAATTTGATAGTCTCATAAGCCAAAAGCAGAAAATAATCGATCTCAAGAATTAGAACAATTAGGAACAAGAGTGAAAGATTTTGTTGATACGACGAGACTATACGCTCAAGTGCAGGATGCAATTTCTGAGGCATTAAATGAAGACACGTCAAGTGAAACAGGACGAAGTCGAGCGTGGGACTATTTTCATGACGGGTTTAAAGTTGATCATAAAGTAAAACGTCGAGAATCTGAATCAATATCTGAAATCGATGCACCATTCGAATTCCAAGTCGAACCTCAAGTTGTTCATCAGGATACTTTGCAAGCAATTTTCGAGGATTCAGAGAAAGTTAACAACAAATTTGGATTGAAACTAGAAACCAATTCGACAGCTGAATTAGATTGCATCATACCAAGTCCTCGTTATGCCGACATCATAAATGCGAAAGAGATCCAAAGTTCGTATGAAAAGTTTTCTTTTGTTCCCGAGACATTGAAATCAAAATCGAATGAGACTTCTCCAGTGATTTCCTCCGTAAATTACGAGGAAGAAACTATTGCAGCCAGCACCGATGAGAATACAGTAATAGATACAACAGATACCGATGCAGCGGATGAACTTGATCAGGCATTTCGGTAATCGTACACTTTTTTACGTTGGAAAACTGTATTTTTTATTTATTTTAAAGTTAATTTAATATTCGATAATTTTATAATATTAATTAGATTTACGACGGTTTGCGATTTACGCGATGAGGTGTTAGGCCCTCCACCTTCAGCTCCATTTCAATTGCAACGAGAGAAACTTCGTCAGGAGCAAGCTTTTAAACGAAAGGTTTCTTTTAAAAAATTCGCGATAAAGAAGATGATTGACCGTGAATCTGCGGAACGTTCGCGACGACGAAAATATCGCATGGCAATCTTCGATGCGAACCGTGCTCATTCGGTTACTGCGGTACTTGGCGAACTCGACTCGGTAGTGGAACTCGACACCCCCACCGAACGTTTATTCAGGCTTGAACATCCTGAATATTTTCCGAAAGAGCCTTCAGAATCGCGCGAAGAGCGACTTCGCGAGTACGAAGAGGCACGTAGTTCTTACGACGCGAAGGTAGCTAAGAAAATGGTCAAACAACAAAACCGTCAAGATAAGGTAATATATAACTTTACAGTTTATAATTGAAATATATATTTATATTTATATTTATTTATTTGGTTTTTGTTTTAGACACGTCTAAAGCGCCTTCGCGAATTGGATGATGATCAAGAAAATAAAAAAGTAGCCCGACAGAAAGTCCAAGAGGAAAAAAATCGGAACCCACCTTCCGAATCCGAGATCTGGGAATCACGGAAAGAAAAAGACAGTTTTCCCTCGGATAAAGAAGATTATGACGATGATGAAAGCGATGAAGAATTCGACGCTTTCGAAGAATCGTCAGTACCATTACAAGTCCGGCAACATACTCGGCGCAAGAAGACTTTCTTATCGTATAATGAACTTCGCCGCCAGGTTAAAGAAAAAGAGCGTAGCGAAAAGGCCCAGCGAGAACTCACAAAGATCCAAGAAACGGCACGAAAATGCCAAATTGAAGATTTGCGTCACCAAATCCTTGAAGAAGAGCGTAATCGTAAAAGGCAGAAACTCGTTGATCTTTCCAACGAAAGGGATAGACGTGATGCAATAACCATTCAACATATTCGCGAAGTGGCAGCAACCAAAATCGCAATAGGACGGGCGATTCGTGAATTGGAGGATAAGATTTCCGCAGCCGAAGCACAATTTCATGAGAAAAAATCTCGTAAGTGGTGAATTGAAGATATCTTTTTACCGCATTTACCGTTTCAAATTAAGATGAGAGGACATATGTTCTCGCAGCTTATTCTGTGACTTGAAAAGTTTTGCTATCTTGATCAACATTTTATTTGATAACCCGATATTTATATGATTAAAAAATAAACCCAAGCTCTGTTTCACTTCCTTTTTCTTGCTACATTGTTAGTCTGTTTCTTAATAGATTAGCATATACTTAATTGCTGAACGTGGAACACAATTTTTTAAAGTTTTGCCTTTCTTAATTATATAGTATGTATTTTATTTTTGTTTTAATTTTTTCGTTTATATTTTAATTAGAAAAAACCTTTCATGTCATAATTTTTTTTAGTTTCGGAATATTACCGCTTGGTCATATCTGTCATTTAACAATTATCTTTTGATGCATGGATAACAGGCAAGTTTTGTAATATGACCAAGGAACAACTTTTCTAACGTTAACCATTTCTTGCTCGGTTAGAAATACCTTTCAAGGCTAATAATAACTTTTATTTGATCTTAATAGTTATTTTTAATGAGCAAGATCTGCAATATCGTGGACTTATGCATTTAAAGAATTTAATTTCTTTAATAAACTTTTGTAAATACAATAATTAATTAGTACATCTCTAAAAGACGACAATCATCATTTTCATTCAAAATTCTAATATATATATATTTGTAATTAATAATTATAATTAATATTTTTTGTTTCCTTTTAATTTTTTAGATCTATTATTAACTAACATTTCAATTGTAATTTTTTATTAAATGTTTTTTAAATTTATTTTATTTACCAAAATATTTATGATTTTGATTAAATTTTGGCAATATTTAGTAATCAATGTATTTAAACTTTAAATTTTGCTTTATTTAAAAAGTATTAAAAATTCTGTAATATTACATAAAAGCAAAAATGTATTCTATTTAAAATCATAATTTAATATATATACTGTAGTATTTTAATTGCCAATTTAATTTATCAAATTTATAGTGTCGGCCCGAATTATATATAAATTTCTGATCACCAATCTGGCAAAGTATTGGTTAGTCTTAATTTAATTATGCTCAACTCTCTTATTGGAATCATTCAATAGATAGTTAGTCCGGAGCGTTAGTGAAGGACTATTTACTTTCTATGCATTGTGTCCGTTTGTCCGCCCACTTATCATTTGAGACGACGAATATCGGCTATTTATAAATACCGTGGTACATTTTCCTAAAAAAGAAACTGCCCGCAA